GTTGAAACACGCATTCGAAAAGGCAACTGCGCAATATCCACTTAATTGATCTGAGTGAATGAATTTTTTTAGAGTCTTACTTTTGTTTTTCTCGGTATATAGATCGAATTAAAGTTCTAAGCCTCTTCGCTCATTCGACAAGAAATCTTATCTACAATAAAGCTTACAAATGCGCAACTTCCAGTTTTTAATATCCGGCGAAATACTCTACAGGGTGCACTAAAAAAAACTACATAACTACTCTATGTCTCTATTTAATCACTTTCCTCATCCAATAATCTCCATGTTTCCGCTGTTAATCCCAAAAAGAAAAATATACGTAAATGACGCGCGAAGGTTCAAAATCCAAATGTTCTGGTTAAGGATGGCAAACAAGTTAGATACGTTGAATTATGTCATGTTGTTCACAAATTCACTATGTGAAAGGACGACTCTAGCTCCTTAACTTGTAGGTTTATGCAGAAAAAGAAGGAAAGCAAAGAAGATATATGAAAAATGTTTGAAGGAAACGGCAATCGCTACATTTTCCATTTATATTCTGAAAAAATAATTCTTGAACATTGTTTTGAACCAATTTGTCAGTTATCATAGTACACCAATACCACCACCATTTTTTGTAAGACGCCTGCGTTAAATCACTATCACTTTTGTTGTCCTGCCACTGGAGTATCGCTATGCTCAAGTCTCCCTTCCCATCATTGCAGGCCTTTCTCATAAGTTCATGAAAATGTTAGGTTTGCGATGGTGGGGATGTTCATGCCGTCTGTCAGCACCTTTTAATGTTCTTAAAACTAAGACGGATTCCGTGTTCTCATCAATATGAGGTCTAGAAATGAAGAGTATAAAGCATTGAGTCACCAGACGGAGATCTGGCCATGCTTCGTATAAGTTAGCAGCACTATTGCTGATAATTCTTAACTGATAATAACGACGAAAAATTTTTCTATGACCTAATCTCGCCAGAAGACATATCATGAAATTTGATTGTTTATTCGATTAGAAAGTATATAAAACCGCATTTCTCTTCCAGAGAATTATCACGTTTTCGTTCATAATACAACAGCAGGCGAATCAACACATATGTTTATACATTGAGACAAAGTGAAGAGAAGCGGTATCAAAAACTATGAAAAACGGAATGTACATGATCACAAAAGCTAATATCGAGAAGAGTCGCATCCCATATGGGCCTACTTTATAGAAGAGTCAATGTTTTGCGAATTATGCTCGAAATGACTAATACTAATGGAGGAAAACAATTGAAGTGATGATCACAAAGAAAGCACATCAAAAAACAGTAGCGGTGTTGTACTTGTTCTGCCAGAATACAAGAATCAATGTCACACCGTACATTCCTGCAGCTATCCAGCATTGCATCGCTTTTTCACTGTATTTCGTTTCGATATCTCTGAAAATGAGAGGAATTTTTTTCGTAAAATCCTAAAGCTTTTAAGAAAAGAAAATAAATTCATTTCATTGCCAGTGCATGACAACCTTACATTTGCAGGGGCAGAATCGTAGTCAGACAGATAGGGAGACACCACTGAACAGTACTTGAAATCCCAAAGCATTCGAAGAATTTATCCGGTTTCTACCCATCAAAAATCCCTATCGTCCAACAGTCTTAACTTAGACCAATACTAAATTTTATACTGCGTGGTACCGATGTGAGACACGATAATCCTACTGGCCGCTTAACTGACGAAAAAGTAAGAGCTATATACTTCAGAAGAAAATTTACGAATATCGGAATGATCCTATGATACCAAAATGAAAAAGCCGAGTTGCTCGAGAGTCATAGTTTAAGACCGTTCGGTTTCTCAACTTATTTGAAAGTCAAGACTTTTGAGTAATCGATCTATCAAATATTTCAAGACCTCATCCGACTTTTCGAATTAATATTCAAACATTTTATTAGAATACTTTTCTGGACAAGATTAATTTCTTTTGTTTTATTCGAAATAATATTTCGAAATGATATTATGTTTTGGACTTCATTCGTTTATATAGAAAATTAAGCAATAGATTTAGAGTAAGAAGAAACCGACTAATCCTATATTGAGATACAACTAATT